TGATTGAAGCATCAAATGATAAAGAGTGGTTATAGCGACCCATTAAAATCTAGGTGCTGGAAACTGTTTTGAGCCACCTTAAAAACTGAATGGAAAACAACCAGTGAGGAGAGTTAAAATTTGGAGCTTAGTGCCGAACGATTTAAACACCAGTAACGCCGACAATGGAGAACGCAGCCCAGTGCTGAGGACTTCGTGTGTTGTCTTTTGCTTGAAGAATCTTCATGGCCTTTCGTAACGATACCGCAGCATCACGGGAAGCCTTGTATTCTCGGTAAAAGGCCGTCATGAGGTCACAAGCGGATCGGTCGTCAATCTTCCACAACGTGACAATCACGCAAGCGGCGCCAGCCGCCAGAAATGCGCGTGAAAGACCTGTGTAAACAGAACCAGGTGTTATTTCTGAACTCCGTTTAATACGATATGAACACGCCTGTATTAAGAGTCGCTACGGGACTGCGTACACGATCAAAATAAGCGCTTCCCGACCCAGCACTTCTCAGGTGTACACATAACGTACCTCCCGAATATCGGGTGCCTAATATCCGCATGAGTCTCTGCGCATGAGTTCAGTCCTTGAACTCACCCTTCCCTTCCCTTAATAGGAGTTGAAGAGGGAGTCTAGAATTAACTGCATCCGCATGCTCAAAGTAAGCCAATCAATTGGTGTCGACGAACGCGCTAAGATTTAGTTGTTCAACTACCCGAACAAACAAGAGACTTAAATACAAGAATCAAGGTCGCAAAATGCGTTCAAGTCCAATCAATAACGAATATGTACTAAAAGTCCTAACTGAACTAGGCTGATATCAACTGGGCTAGAGTTGCTGGTGCTTTGGACTACGAGCAGTCCCTCTTTCGCTTAGTCCGTCGTGCGTGACGAGAAAGAAAACCGCGAGAAAAGAATGGCCGCGCGAAATCCTGGGGGTGACTCGACGAGAGGATTTCACGCCGCCATTATTTCGTCGTTGTTTATTTATGGTCTCGCTCCACGGACTAAGCGAAAGAGGGACTACTCGTAGTCCTACTGGTGCTTCAGCTGAAAGGACTTTTTTAATGATTCAAAAACTTACCCAGTACTCCATCTCCTGTCACTTTACCCAGTCCCGTTTCACAGCAGCTTAGTACCACAAGTTCAGCATTTAGTTCCATACCTCTCACTTCCTCGGCCGTCAGAATACCGTTACATTCGAGCCCAGACTTCGCCAGTACAATGAGGCCCTTCATGCTAAAATCGCCGTGGGAGTCTGCGTCGTCAATAATAGCGTGCGTGGCAAAGTGTAGTATTTTATGCTTTG